AGAAGAAGAAGAAGAAGAAGAAGAAGAAGAAGAAGAAGAAGAAGAAGAAGAAGAAGAAGAAGAAGAAAGAAGAAGGAAATAAAAAATTCAAAAAGAAAAGAAAAAAAATAAACATTATCTGCTGCTTTCAATAGACCTGCAGAAGTCAGCAGTACAATTATCCAAGCTATCCTATATATATGCATAAACATATCTTTTTCATTCCTTCTTTTTTTGTCCTTTTCCTCAGCTTAGTTTTCTATTCTCTTTGAACAGATTCTTTTCCTTTCACAATATCTATTGTACCTCTCAGATTTTATTTACTCTTTCAAAACTTACAGTAGGAAGATAGTATGGTGTTGCACATGCGGAGCTTATTTATTTCACTTATAGTTATGCTCTCTAGTTTCATCTACTTACCTACGAAAGCCTCCAGTTTATTTTTTTTAATAGCTGAGTAATCACTCCATTGTATAAAAATACCACATTTTTTATGCCTTCCTCTTGATGGGCATTTGGGTTATTTTTTATTTATTTATAATGTATTTGGTACAGGGTCTCACTAGGCAGCTTGGACTTATAGTGATCCTCTTGTTTTCAGTCTCTCTAGTGCTGGGATTACAGGCATGCACCACTAGGCCCTGACTCGGTCGCTGGCTCAGTGCACCCAGGGGCAGGACCAGTGCTGAATGTGGTGCCAGGGATCAAATCTCGGTCCCTGGGCCAGCCAAATAGCTCAGCTGATTAAAGCACCTGCAGGCAGGCACAGGGGCCAGGGGTTCAATCCATGGGCCTACCATGCCAGCCCTGCCCCCAGGACACATTGAGATAGCAATTGAGACTGGGAGTGGTGGCACACACCTGTAATCCCAGCACTTGGGAGGCTGTAAACAGGAGAATCACTATGAGTCCAATCTAGTGGTAAGACCCTGAACACCTTTTAGACCTCTTCCTAAAACAAAAATTTAAAAAAAAAAAATTTTTTTTTAAATTTTTAAAACAACCGAGTCAGGGCCTAGTGGTGGATGCCTGTAATCCCAGCACTAGAGAGACTGAAAACAGGAGGATCACTGTAAGTCCAAGCTGCCTAGTGAGACCCTGTACCAAATACATTATAAAAAAATAAAAAATAACCCAAATGCCCATCAAGAGGAATGCATAAAAAATGTGGTATTTTTATACAATGGAGTGATTACTCAGCTATTAAAAAAAATAAACTGGAGGCTTTCGTAGTCCCTGCACTTGCCTAAGCAGGCACTTAGTCCACTGAGCTATCTTGCCGGCCCATTGGATCATTTTCAAAAACTGAGGAGAAAACCTTACCCAGTTACCACAACATTAATGTGAAGTTTTGAAAAGAAATCTGCATTACAGCCTTTAGAGATTCTTGAACAAGAGCAAGAATAGTATGTATGTGTGGAAAAGTCTTTCAGATTTTTAACTGCGTTTTTAGTTAGAAATGAAATTGTTGCTGTATGTGATGGCTCACCTCTATAATCCCAGCACTCAGGAGGCCAAGGCAGGAGGAGTGCTGTGAAGTCAAGGCCAGCCTGAACTACATTGTGAGATCTTGTCTCAAAAAAAATAAAATAAAATCATTCTAATTCAAAGATATGAAAATAAGAAATGCTGATTTTATAACCAAGGTCCTTTATATTTGGAGTATATTGAATTTGTAGTTTATTTGAAACACTATTTATCTGTTTACTAATCCTTAGGTGCCAATTCATTATTTTGCTCTAATATAATTAGTATGCTTTTATAGGTTTGCTAAAATCTTACTCTGCTTTGACTTTTAAATTAATATTTTGTCCAACAACAACCATTATGTTTGAAAAAAAATCAGCCCTGTTGTTGCGGTAATTGAACAGGGAAGCATAAATGTTGTAGGGACATGAAGATTAAGTAGGAATGAAGTATTAGCGTGAGTAATGCTAACCAAGCCCTAAAGTCTTCATGTGCTGCGGAATCAGAAGTTTGCTGAGCTTCACCAAGAGGAGCCAGCACAGCATGACGGGAAAAGGAGCGCTTCCTGTTCGTTCATGCGGCTTTACTTGCCGCAGCAGGTTGGGTATGTTAGGCCATCATGACTTGAACTTCTTAGGATATCCAATTTTTATAGAAAGAAATATACAACTTATTAGTAAATAAGACTGAACAGGGCCAGGGAGATGGCTCAGTAGAATAAGCACTTCCCTGGCAAGCCATAAGGGCCTGAGTTCAATCCCCAGTTCCACCAAAAAAAATAAAATAAAAATAAATAAATAAGACTGAACAAAAATAATAACCAAAGTAACATCCTAATAGTGGACATCACAGCTTAACCAATTTATGTATAAAGAAATGCCAAGACAGGAAATAAACTGTGGGTCGCACCAAAACCCAAAGCCAAATAAAGGTTAATGTTCATTCTTATAAAATTGCAGATTTAAACGCTGAAATATTCAGAAATAAAATTGTGTAGAATTTTAAAATGAAACCCTTAGGGACCCTTGCCAATATATACTTCCTACTACTTGTCTTTCTGTGTGAAACTTTTCTACTTGAAAAAGTTCAGTCTTCTATTTATTCTCTCTCTCTTTCTCTCTCTCTCTCTCTCTCTCTCTCTCTCTCTCTCTCTCTCTCTGTCACTCTCTCTCTCCTTCTCTCCCTCTCTGTCCTCTCTCTTTCCCTCCCCTTCTCTCCCTCTCTGTTCTCTCTCTCTCTCTCTCTCTCTCTCTCTCTCTCTCTCTCT